TTTTTGACGAAAAATATTTTCATCAAAATTCTTTACGGAATTCAAATTTCGTTGAAAGTTTTCGACTGAAATATTTTCATTAAACTTTTTGACAAAATAAATTTTCGTCGATATTTTTAACAAAACACATTTCCATCAAAAAAATTCGACGAAAAATATTTTCGTCAATTTTTTTGATAAAAAAAACATTTCCATCAAAATTTTCAACGAAACATAGTTCTGTCAAAAAATTTCGACATACAATAATTTCGTAAAATTTTTTGAAGAGTCAAAAATTTTTACGGAAAAATATTTTGTCAAAATTCTTTACAAAACTAAATTTTGTCGAAAGTTTCGAATGAAACACTTCTCTAAAAAATTTTGACAAAAAAATTTCCGTTGAAATTTTCGTTAGAACATATTTCCATCGAAATTTTGAACGAAAAATATTCCGTCAAATTTTTTCACAGAATTCTGTTTTCGTTTATAACATTTGATGGAAGAAATCATTTTTGTCAAATCTTTTGACGGTAAATTTGTATTTGTAAATATTTTCATGGAATAAAAAATTTCATCGCTAGAACATAGTAACAGTTATAAATAGGTGCAATCTCAATTAAAAATGAAAAGGGGGGAACATGTACGGGCACGGTGCTCTGGATTTTAACATAGTAACAGTTTATAAATATATATGGCAATTTTCATATGTCTCCTCAATAGAAGATGAGCCTAACCGTTTTAGCTCACTCCTCACTACTGTAACTGATGAATTACTCTGCTAATAGATGAGGAGAGTGAAAGATTCTCTAAGCTGAGATCTATGTACTCTCACTGTGAAGAGATTAATAGGCTTTTGTAGATCAACCCATATGTATTAGGAATTTAGGATGTTAAAACCAGCCCGGAACACATTCTTTTAACATTTGTTCTCCTTATCAACGCGAATAACCAACCAGAGCTTAATGATAATCCGTCTAGTGTGGAATATTTGTGGTTTCTGTTGTGTAAGGGTGGAAAAAGAATGGTTTTGTGGTCTGCACAATGCTTAGATAGGGTAAAAGAGAGGATGCAACACGTGAATGGCGAGAATTAGTAATATATTATTTGCTTCTTTTCTCTCTCCAATGAAACCAAAACAAATATAGATTTTTTTAATGAAATACAATTTTCAGGGAATAATATCCCGGTAATGGCGGAAAGATGGATACTACTCATTAATTAAAAAAGAAGAAGTATTTATCCCGTATAAAGGATGCCATGGATGATATTTTAATTTGGGAAGATATTCTTACTACAAAAAAAATTCACTATGAATCCATTACCTCCATAACGATCATTGGATAAGTATTTTCTCTCTCTTCAAAAAATTTTCATCATTCTTTCTCTTTGATATAATGGTGATTATGAAAGTAGCGTGATGGTAGTAGATTTTTTTTTAGTAAGAATATTCCCCCCTTCCCCCCTTTAAATTAAGATAAAATAAATTGAGGGATGTTTTAAGATTACTTTTTTTTATTACCTCTTATTACAAAATCTTAACGGTTAATTTTCGTCAATCTAACGGTTATAATTTATTGAAAATTAATAATTAATTAATAAATGTGACACTATAAATTATAACCGATAGATTGCCGAAAATCAACGACTAAGATTTAGTAGTAAAAGATAATAAGAAAAGAAGGTAGTAAGTATAACCTCTTCCAAATTTAAAAGCATAAATTAAATTTTCTTTTAAAATTCTAATAAATGCATGCATAATTATTTTACGTAGAATCAAAAAAATATAAATCAAATGAAAACATTAAAATTATAAAAAATAATGCAAAATTATTTCGAAAATATATAATATAAAATAAAAAACTGATAATTACATGTATTGGAATTTTCTTTAAGCTGCTTGAGACAACTTTATTTCCGGCTACTAAATCATAACCATACAAAAATGAATCAATGGTGATAAAGGAAAAGAGCGAAAAAGAAAATCATAACTATTTAAAGGTGAATCAATTAATATAATAAAATAAATAAATAAAACGACGTAATTTCTGAGTGACTGGAGATAAATATATCTCAAGCAACTTGAGAAATATTTTTCTCATATATATATATATATATATATATGTATATATGTATATATATTGGTAAACTATTGTTATATATTAAATTATGGGGTAGGATCCTTTGATACTATTGACAGAATTAAAATTTAACATCTCATCTGAGAGTCACTGGATCAAAAAAATCAACCACTTTGATTTGTAAACATGTGACGCTATTGATCTTTTTTGATTCAACGACTCTCAGATGAGGTGTCAAACTTTAAATTTGACATTGGTGTCAAAGAGTCGTACCTTAATATATTCACAGTGAAATAATATAACATATAAGAACTAGTTTAAAAGTAAAATAGTATATCGAAATGTTGACATTTGATAAGTTAAAATGACAAAATACGCAAAATTTATAATTAAGATAACTTAATAATAAAAGTTGCAAATAAATATTATCTTACGGCAATTTAAAATCATAATGTGTATAAAATTCATATTTTATAGTTTAAATCATTGTTGTTTATTTGAAATTCTATAATACATTCTTGTTATTGTTATTAATAATAGTATCTAATTTTCCTAATTTGTTTTATTTTTATAATATTAAAAGAACTGGATTTACATTTGATTTATTAGATTGTTCTAATTTTATTATTATATAAAAGTTGTAAACATATATTTGATTAATTTTAATTTCTCTTTTGATAATTAATATGGATTGGTTGAATAACTAAATACAGTAGATGTATCCAATGTAAAAAAAAAAATCAAATAAAATACCTTTCAAGTTGCTAACAATATGTTTGGGACATTAATCGTACTGCCCTTTTTGCCAAAAAAAAAAAAATTTGTCAGAATGCCACCCCAGCTCGAAATTTTGCCAAAATGTCACATGACACATTGGTTGAGGCCACCAAACTTGGTATAAGTTGCAGCGAGTATGATGGTCAAATTGCTTAAAATTGTTCTGCAAAATTGGGAGACGTGTGGCAGACACACAAATATTCGCTCTCAATGGCAGCGAGTATTGACTCGGTGCCATTGACAGCGAATATCTGTCAGTCTGCCACGTTGCCATAATCTCGCTAGTGGTGCCAGCGAGTTCATTGGTGTATAATCCCCCATTTTTCCTATTTCATACTTCCCTACGTTCATATCTTATTTCTATCGTCTCTAGCAAACTTCTTCCTACTATTTTTTTTAATTCTAACAAAATGAGTTACAATAACGATTCAATTATTGCCATTGTGTGTATAATGGGAGGAGATATTTTCGTCCCAATGGTGAGGATTTTGAAGGAGAAACGAAAACGTTTCGCATGAACCCCCGACGTAGTTATAATGGGCTGATGAAGACAATATGCAAGAAGTTGAGATTACAACAAGGTCAATCGTTGTATCGGTTGACTGCTAAATGTGCCTCTGGAAAAGAAATGGGGAAAACACAATCTCGTAGTCGCAGGATTCGTAATGTTACAATATTAGGCAGTTCATGTTGGGAAACCCTGTGAGATGATTTTTTCCTCTCTTCCCTTCCTGAAGATGCTAATTGTTTTTCCTATTGAGATAAAACAATTCTACCTGCTTGAGACTTAGTTTTAGCTTGCCAACTAGTCAATCTTCCTTTTACTCTATCCACCACGCTAGCAAAAGTGGATTTAGTAACCCCACTATTCTGAATTAAAGCTCCAAGATACTTGCCGATATTTTCCACTCTCTTAAAACCACTGATTTGAATAATCTTGTCAGCTGTTTCAGCAGGAGTATTTCTAGAAAAAAACACACTGGTTTTCTGATCACTAATTTTTTGGCCAGAGATTTCACCAAACAGGTTCAAGCAGCGGAGAAGGATGTGCATCTGATCCTCACTATCTTATAAGAAGAGCATTAAATCATCAGCAAATAATAAATGTGAAACTTTCGGACCCCCTTTACCTGCTTTGTTAGGGTGCCACAAATTACCATCTACTGCAGTTTGAATTATATGGGATAGCTTCTCCATAGCTAACACAAATAAATACGGGGATATTGGATCCCCCTGACGAACCCCTCTACTAGGCTGAAATTCATCTGTAATGCTCCCGTTCCATAAAATGCTGGTTTTAGGATAGGAAACAGCAGTCATGATTAACTCAGAAAGATGCCCAGGGATTTGAACCTCCACTAAAACATTTCTGAGGAAGTTCCAATTTAGGCGGTCATAAGCTTTTTCCAAATCCACTTTGATCGCCATAAAACACCTTTTACCTCTCATCTTCCTCATAGAATGAACTAACTCTTGGACCACAATAATGTTATCCTGAATATGACGACTAGGCACAAAACTAGACTGGGCAGGAGACACCACCTTATCCATAATTGTTTTAAGCCTGCTGACAATAATTTTACTGACTATTTTATACACCACTGGGCACAGTGAGATAGGTCTAAACTGGCTAATATGAATCTGATTCTGCACATTTGGAATGAGACCCAAAAGTGTAGAATTAATTGAAGCCAGAATATTTGGATAATCCCAAATCTGATAGATCAGAGAGCAGACTTGCTTTTTAATCAAATCCCAATTTTTTTGGAAGAAAATTGCTGGATAACCATCTATGCCTGGTGCCTTTAAAGCACCAATATTAAACAAAGCTTGTTTAATTTCAAGGTCACTAGGACACCTCTCCAGATCATTTTTCTCCAAAATCGAAAGTTTAGGCCAGAGATTTTCAGAACTGATCCACCTTCTATCCAAAAAATCCTCATTGAATAGACCCTTAAAATAGTTCAGCGCCATCTCTTTCAGGTCAGCAGCATTTGTTACCCAAGCATCATCCTCACTTTTTAACTTAAAGATTTTATTAGTGCTTCTCCTCACCACTGTGCTAAGATGATAGAACTTGGTATTTCTGTCACCATCAGTGATCCACTTCTGTCTTGATTTCTGAAACCAAAACAACTCATCTTCAAGAAGGACCTTTCCAAACTGCTATTGACAATCTTTCTCCATAGCATGCAAGTGATCCGAATCATTAGCTTTCCTTCTACCCTGAATATAAGCAATCCTCTTGATAAGCCAATTTTTCTTCCTATCAATATTACCAAAGACTCTTCTGTTCCACACATTGATTTCAGGAATCAATCGATGAAGCATATAAGGGAGGTCAAAATTCAGATCCCAATTTGAGTTAAGAAACTGAACAAAATTTTGATGTTCTTGCCATGCAGCAAAGAATCTAAATGGCTTCTTTTTATCACTACTCTGGTCTTCAAAAAGCTTGATAAGGATTGGATTATGATCTGATAAGAGTCTAGGCAGAGAAGACACTCTTGCTCCATCAAATAACATTCTCCACTCTACATTAGCAACAACTCTATCAAGCCGCTTGTAAACTCTCTTCAAATTAGTCCACTTAGGACCTTGCCAGGTAAAGAAGGGGCCATCACAACCCATATCAGCCACCTTACAGTCTTCCAACACTGAAGCAAATCTCGCACACTTCACAGGATCAGCTATAGTACCTCCTTTCTTCTCATGAGAATAAGAAATTTCATTAAAATCCCCTCCAAGTACCCAAGGACCAGATATAGAATTACTAAGAGCCCTGAGATCCTCCCAAAGATTGTTTCTGATGTTTTGGGAAGGACTGACATATATTGCTGTGAAGTCAAAACAAATGCCATTAGGAATATTAATTCTACAGTGGATAAATTGAGATGCTTGAGAAAGAACAGTTATACTCACCTTCTCACTATGTCACATGATCCAAATTCCACCAGCAAAGCCTTGAGCTTCTTCCACTACAAAACTTTCAAATCCTACTTTCTGCATAATATTTTTACAAATCCCACTTTGAGTCCTAGGTTCAAGCACTACAGCCACATCCACCATATTCTTCTTAACTAGAGTTTTGAGGGCATCACCAAACTCTCGTCGAGCAGCCCCTCTAGAATTTCAGATTAAAAAATTCATTAAAAACTTTGAGAGTAGATTACAGGTCCTGACAATCCCTGTTTTTCATTCCCTCCCAACATGTTGCTGTCGTTAGCACCTAAAACCTCCATATCTTTTGCATCAGCATCCTGTTCACAATCCTCCATCATCGGGTCAGGAGGTTTAGGATCCAGTTGACCAGTCACACCTCTCACAACATGAACATTAGACTCATGATTCAGAATGGCAGGGGTCATATTAGTCATTCCATGATATTCTGTACTGTTAGTATTTACCATCTCAGCACAATTAGCTTCTCCATTCTCCTTTGACAACCTCAACTGATTCTTCTTTTCAGATATTTTCTCACTCACTAACTCCTGACTATGATGTCCCTTCTTCAGCTCCTGGGTTATACTGCTGTTTTCTATTTGGTTGCCCACCAGGATAAATTGTGATGAAGTTTCCACCATTTCAACAGCAGCAGGCACATTCTTCTTATCTTTGGATTGAAGGGACCTCAGACTTGACACCTTATTCATGTTCTCACCCCCTGTATCATCCTGTTTCTCTGCCTGCATATTCTGATTGTTCAAACTAGTAAATGAATTTCGCATCTGAATAGCTGGCTTATTCCTATTCCCTTTCTTTAAATCCGATCTTTGATCCTGATTCCCTTTATTCCTTCTCCCTTTCAACACCTGCATCCAAGGGCCAAATTTAGAAGTTTCCACACCCGCAGCTGAAACATCTCCCACAACAGTTTCCTGACTAGTCAAGTCCTTTTCCATTACAGAATTTGTCTGATCAGGAACTCCACAAATTTTATTTGGGCAATTTTCCAACCTGTGACCATATCTTCCACAACCGTAACAAATGAGATTCAGCCCCTCGTATTCTACCTTTTTCAATCTACCCTCAACCTTATACTCCACTTGAAGAGGCTGAGTCAGATTTAACTCCACACACATTCTTGCAAAACGGCCTCTAGCTAATGAAGTAGTGGCAGCATCAATTCTCACGAACTTTCCCAGCCAATTCCCAATATTCTTAATCAATGAAGTATTAACATATTCTATTGGAAATTCAGGTAGTCTCACCCAGGCCATAATACGAGAAATAGAGGCCTGATAGGGATGGAAATCAGGTTCCCAAGACCTAATGGCTAGATAATGATCAAAAATTGACCCATGGACCTGCTGTAAGAGCAAAATCCATGTCTTTTTTATCTGAGAAACGAACTAAAAAATAATCATTTTCAAGGTCAGTGATAAAGACCTTACATTGCCGTGCCCACAAATTCTCCATCTTCTTCTTCATAAAGGCAAGAGAGACTTTTTTCCCCATCAATTTCACGAAAAAGGACTGATGCCAAGGCTTCCAGGCTTTCTTCTTGAAGGAGTCTGACAATTTGAAATTCACTTTACCATCCGCATCCTCTTCCCTAACCACTTCTGGTGTTTCTGGTTGGTCCTCCAAAATTAGGTCTTCTGTAGGAGGTTCCTTATCTTCTGAATTACTTTCTTCAATTCAATCCTCCCACTCTCCATTATGTCTCATTAACATCTCCTTGAAGGACATGTTATCTCTCATCCATTCTTCATCACGAGGAGTCATGGTTTGCTCACTGGAGAACTTGCCATCGCCTCCCTTACTCTTTTTCACGCTTCGTTGGAGATTATCCTCCTCTTCAGTTGAGTGCAAACGACCGGTGGCTGGATTCATCGTAAATCTCTAACCCTAGCAGAGCGATTCCTATTATCTTTTGTGCCATGTGTCTCACTTTTATAAAGAAAGGTTGAGCAATTTGACTATTTTATTTGCTGTAACTGATAGTGAGTATGATGACCTCAAGTAACGTGCAACGTAACCTAACCAAACTCGCCGACAATTATAGCAAATTTTGAGAGGTGGCATTTTAGCAAAATTTCAAGCTAGGGTGGCATTCAAACAATTTTATTTTATTTTTTCTTCAGAAGAGGGTCAATGCAGTCAATGTACCCAATATGTTTTGAAGAACATATCCTTTATGAATATACTAAGGAAGCAATAACGTATTCACGAAGAGCATACTCTGCAGGCATTATCAAGTTTCCAAGATTCGTAACTCCATGCAAAATACATTATCAATAAACAATGAGGCCTAAAATTGAAAAGGCCTCATGGCGTACCAAGAAAAATTATGAAAACAATCCCCACTCACCACTATTTTTTCACAAATAATACAATCAAAATATTATAATTGTTCTTGTCTTGCCTCACAGATGGCATCATCCGCTACGGGAGAATCGCATACTCACTTTAAAGGATACCAGCCAATAAAATATGGGATATCTTAACCATATTTTGCTTTAATCTTCTTGTAATTTTTGTGGCCAAAACCTTCAAGTTAGATTCTATGATTTTTATTTTATTAAGAGTAGTTTAACTTCTGATACCAACAAGTATTAAGATGTGTGTGGTTATTGATCGAAATTAAATTAAGACGTTCCTAGCTATTATGCACTCTACTAATAATTAAGAGAACTAGCAATTAATGTCTAAAAGAGTTCATTTTCATCCAAAATCTGCCATCTTTGACCACAATTGTGAATCAATTTAACTTCAAATACCCTCTTAATAAAAGGAGATAAAGTTCAAAAACATTCACTAAAGAGAAAAATATTACTACCTGTCTACCCCAAATAGTTCACCTGTGTCACTCCAGAAAATCATTATAAAAGGTAGAATTGCAATATAGAATTTCTTCTTTGCAAGTTACCTTTTTTTACCTACTATTCCAACAACCAAATATTTTTTTTAAGTAGACTCTTTGCAAACATAAAATGGTGTGATACCAAATTTTTTCTACTTTGTGTCATTATATGCATTATACTTATTTATTTTATTTAAATTTTTACAATTTCAATATTTGCAGGAAGCATCCGAGCATAGAGGAAGCCCCCTCCTCGCTTTGGAATGGGGCATCTAGCTGTTTTGAAGTATGTGCATGTGGCAATTTTATCATATGGCACATGAACCCCCCGTCACTTTTATAAATACTTGCGTGAACCAAAATTTGTGTTGGTCCTATTGTTGTGATTTTTTCTTTAACAATTTGAACCAAGCGATTTTTATTATATACAATTTAAAGGTTGCATTGAAATTTATTAATCATTTCGACTTTCTCGTTCGCTTGAAACTTTCTAGGAATGTTATTGATATATTTATTTAATAAATTTTATAGGAACCTTAATAAATAAAAACAAACTTAAATTTTTTAATAAACTGTACGTAAAAAGTTTACTTAATAATAATAATAATAAAGGGTACATTAAAACAAGTATATCAAAACATATATTCCTTCAAAACTTTGTTATACCCACTGTTCTGAATTTATATTTTTAATTATAAAACTGCACCGATCCCCGCTGTAATTCTTATCCTCCATGTCATTCTTAGCTGGGAACAGGGAAAAAATTATTTATAAAATAAGAAAAAATAAAAGGCTGTCACTTCATTCTGTACTTTTTTTGAATTGTTTATTTCTTTTAATTTCAAGTAATTATTAAAAAAATATGAAGAATGTATGAATTAAACATTCAAAAATAGTTTAGATTGTACATTAAATTTCTGAAAAATACATGCTTCTCAAATAAGATCATGAAAAAGTAATTATTTCACTTAGATTTTTGAAATATTGTTAATAAAGTCTATAGCGTGTAAATTAATAAGTCCTTGAAATGTTAATATGATATATAGCTCGACTGAATAATTTTATTTAAAATATATTCAAGTTTTTTTGTACGAAAATATATTGAAATTCTAACTTACTAAATTTTCAAGATAAATATACACTTAATTCCTTTCAGTTCTTTTTTGAGGAGTTTTTTTCTAATTTTTTTCTCTCTTTGTAAACAAAAACCTAGTCAAACATAGTTATAGAAAAATATTTTTATTATAATGAGTAAAAAAAATTAAATATTCTCATTAGGAGCTTTTTTAAAAAATATATATTATCTGTTTAAATTTTCATATTTATTTAAATTTAATTTATTAATTTTACTTAATATTCTAACAATTTATCGAAATAACAAATTATTTCATTTTTTTTTTGATAAATTTATAACAAATTATTTTACTTAATATTCTTCACAGGAAACAATTCAAATTTAAGATTTTAAATTTTCTAAAAAATAATACTAAATATGCTGTCACCCATATTTCTATACACCAGCCTGAGTTACCATTAATTTTTGGCAAAATTATTGCATCTTCGTTACTTGAAAAGCCTCCGAAAAACTTTAAATCAATCCGCTTTGTGTACTTTTCTTGTGCTTTTTGATGAGAGAAAGGATATTAAAAAAATGCGATATGGATCCGCCACGTTGCTTGCGTTGATTGGGTTGAATTACATAGACGAGAGAAGCTCGTGACACCAACCATTATAAATTGATAATATCGCATTCCTTTCTCTGCATCGACTTCAACTTCATCGTCCAACAAAGCCTCTCTCTGCATATTCCTTCGCAATTCCCTGCGTGTGTATGTGTGTATTTGAAGCACGCACACATACACACACACACACACACACAGAGAGACATCAATAAATACCAAAATTCCAAGGTTCAAGTGTTGTAATTCTTCTTCGCTTTTCGCCTCGCAATCCGCTGAATCCCTAGCTGTGAATTGTGATCCGATTCAATCCCTCGATCATGGCCACTCTAGTCAACAATGTTCACGGTGCCGGAAACGGTGTACTTGGAAACGCCGCCGAGAAACTCATTATCGACACCGACCCTGGGATCGGTTAGTTTCAACTCATGCCTTTAGTCATTTCATTTTCCCCCAAAAAATGTCCATCATCATTCGAATAAATCCGAAGGTTACTTTGCTTAGACTCCTGCACTGCTTTCTTCATGATGTAAACAATTAGAAGAACTCACAAAAAAGCGATAACAACAATTTCACTTGTGAATTTGGAGTCTTAATTTGGCTCCAATTGGTCTGATTTTTCAATAATTTATATTTGGGACGAAGTAATTATCGTGCGTTTAGATTAAAGTCAATCTTAGGTAATTTTTAATAGTTTTATGAAGTGTTTTACTGTGAATGGTGGTTTCATGAGTAAAGTAGGAATGGAAATTTTATGATTCTGCAGATGATAGCATGGCAATCTTGATGGCATTTCAAACTCCAGAGGTGGAGGTCCTAGGTTTGACATCCATTTTTGGTAATACCGCTACCGAAGATGCCACACGCAATGCCTTGATTTTGGTACGTGTTTGTTTTCAAAATTCCCATCACTTTGGCCGGTGAATTTCTATTTCAAATTTTTTTTTCCATGTCTTGCATGCTTTTGGAATATGTTCTTGATTGATTTCTTAATATGCAAAAAGGATAGTGTGAGATCGCAGGCTGTCAAAATGTTCCAGTTGCAGAGGGAAGCTCTGAGCCATTGAAGGTAACTACTATATTAATGTATAGTTTTGAGCTTCTCCAGTATTAATTCAGTCAAATTAAGTTTTACTTAGATATGTGCTTTGCACCCTTTCCTTGTATCATCTTTCTGGCTACATACCTCTGCACAGTGCATGACATGTTTCTCTCCTGCCTCAGCCCCTCGGTTTTTTCCCCCTTTGATTTTACTCCGTCTTTCTAGTATTAATTGTACTGTGTTTTCTGCAAAAGGGTGGAAAGCCTTGTGTTGCTGATTTTGTTCATGGTAAAGATGGACTGGGGAATATATTCCTACCCCAACCTAAAGCTCAGAAAATTGAGAAGAGTGCTAGTGAGTTTTTAGTAGAGAAGGTCTCTGAATATCCTGGTGAAGTATCTGTACTAGCACTTGGACCACTAACAAACTTAGCTTTAGTAAGTTGTACAGTGCTCTCTCGTACTTTATTATACTTGCCTTCATAACTTCCAGATTTATAATTGCATACATGTGTTGATCTGATAGTATCACTTTCATTGTTAGGCAATCAAAAGAGATTCTTCTTTTGCAAGCAAGGTGAAGAGAATAGTTATACTTGGTGGTTCATTCTTTGCCTTGGGGAATGTGAACCCTGCCGCAGAAGCAAATGTAAGTGGCGGATTCCTGTTTGTTATGTTTCTTGCGATAAGAAAAAGATAAAAAGAATAATTTCCTTTGGGCTTTTCCATTGATATTTTGTATGTTTCATATGTTTCAAAAAATAAGCAGCTGAAAATTCTCAAATCCAATATTGAGCTCCTTGACTTGCTCTATTGTAACAGGAATTTTTTTTTCTTCTATTTTTTGTTGATGTTTTCTATTTCCTTTTCTACTTTTACCTCTCTTTTTCTCGAAGATGACCTTGGAAATATGTATAATAGTAATTTAGTTATCAACTAAATCAATTATGTTTAAGTATAACAGTAATTTATCAGATTAAAACTAAGCCTCCATTCTTTGTAGAGTTTACTGAAATTATGCATTTCCTAATTTTCCATTCTTTGCTTTGTACATAAAGTAAAACAACTTGCTTCAGTTATGCATAATTGGTTGAATTTTTGCGTTGAGCTTAGGTGACGGGCAGCAATTAACTGTTGTAGTTGCTAATAATTGGTGAAAAGTGCCTTTGATGTGATCCAAAAAAAAATCTCCATTTTTGAGAAGGAGAAGACTCTTTTTGGTTTCTTGAAGTCTATATACTATCTATTCTCTCCACGCCAAACATTACATCAGGCGGATATTATTTCCTAGGAAGTTGTTATCCAAGAAATAAATGGATTCCATTTTATGCTAATCTCAATGATCTGATTTCAGATCACATCAGTCCTAGTCTTGATGACAATTCTTCAATTTGCAGATCTATGGAGACCCAGAAGCAGCAGACATTGTGTTTACCTCTGGAGCAAATATTGCTGTTGTTGGAATAAACATTACAACCCAAGTCAAATTCACAGGTGGGGTTGTAATCCCAGTTTGCTCCAATTTCTGGGCTATCTTGAGCTACTTGTTAGTATTCTGGGTGAGGTACTGGATATTGAACAACGTTATCTTTTGGTTTCAGACGATGATCTCCTTGAACTGAAGGAATCCAAGGGAAAGTATGCTCCTCTCTTGAGTGACATGTGCAAATTCTATAGGGATTGGCATGTAAAATCTGACGGTGTCTATGGTAAGCAAGTTATGCTGTTAAGGTCTACATCTTTAGTTAACTATTAAAGTTGGCATGGGAATGATGATTTGATTTGTTCTTTTAGGAATTTTCCTCCACGACCCCGTCAGTTTTGTGGCACTTGTGCGCCCAGATCTTTTCACGTACAAAGAGGGGGTAGTGAGGGTAGAGACACAGGGCATCTGTGTTGGGCATACACTTATGGACCAAGGATTAAAAAAGTTTGTCCAAATTTGAAAACTAATATATTTATTTACTTTATTTTTGGTGCTAATAATTTTATGCTTTATTTCATACAGATGGAATGCGAGCAACCCATGGACGGGTTATTCTCCTGTTTCAGTTGCTTTCACTGTGAATGTCGAGGAAGTTCTTAATTATATTAGGGAGCTCTTGATGAAACCCTGAATTAAAGGCATTTGTACTACCGTGCTGTCAGATGTCAAAGCTTTGCCAAGTGATAGCATAATAGCATCTTAATTGCCTAAATTATGTATAAGTTAATTTTCTTTATTCCACGCATTGTCGACCAGAACTTTGGGTCTAAAGGATTCACAGTGGTTCCCATTCTCATCCTTCAAGCTGATGAGTTCTTACCCCTTTTAATCCAAAAGTTCACGTGCTAATGAAATTCTCTTTACATGATATGAGATTTGAATTTGGATTTTATTGCTCTTCTTTAAGATGTAAACAATCTTCGGAACTTATATGCCGCTTTTCACTCTGGTTTTATACAACAATTTCGGTTTGAATATTTAAGTAAAAACTTCTTCGCTCTTGTTTGGCAATAAAATTCATAATTCTGTAACTATTTCAGTTCAGATGGAAGGGCATGAAATCAAGATGGGAGTTGTTTGGCTATGATGACGTTATTTATTTATTTATTTATTTGGATATATCCTATGCCGTCGTTTTCATATGAGCATGCTAGATACTCGAGAATCTGAGGAATTGGATATCTTTGTTTTTGTTCAGGAAAGTAACGTAGTACTAAAATATGAAAATAGAACGAACTCTTTTACCAATTCATATAAAAGATGGATGTGAATCTATAATTTCTCAAGTCTGTCCATTTCAAAACTCGAGAATTTTGGGTAATGTTCATTTATTTGTCATAAATATGAGATATTAAATTTCATAATTCTTATATTTGACTATTTTATACCAGGTAGGAGATTCAAAATCCTTGCTATTTTTTTGGTAGACAAGAGGGCTCGCTCACACAAGCAGAAACCAGGAAAAGAAAAACACACTTACACCCCTAATCTGCAGAAATCAACCGGGGTCTCCCTACCCCAGCGAAATTCTTGCTCCTTTTATCTGCCTCCATTTTATTTCTTTACTCCTTTTTCTTGTAAATTCCACGTCATTTAACACCCCACGCGGCCACGCCTTCCTCTGACCACTTTTCCAACCACCACCTGAAGTTATATTTTTCCCTTCGTCATTTTCTTCTTTTAACACTCTTTCTTTTCCTCCCTCACCGTAACCCACCTTACCCAATAGCATTACATTACATGCAAAGTTTTACCTTTCTTTGTTTCCTCTCAAATCAGCCAAGGACCACTCACACACACTATTACATGCAAAAGCTCTCTCTCTTATTTCATTTTTTATTCTTAGCTGTGAGAAACCCACATTGGACCACCATCACCAACTTCGTCTCCTCACTTCTTCATCTACGTAGCCTTAAAAGTTGAACCACCCAATCGAGATTTCCTCTCCTTTTCCACCCTAGGTTTTTCCATTCCTTTAAGTATTAACTTCATTGAACTTTTAACTAAGTCCTGAAGATATTAGCAACCAAGGTTAGAGAGAAATTGTGAAAGCTTAAGCCACAACTGGTGTGAGTAGGAAGATTACTTTCTCCTTGGTTCTGCTTCATTCTCAGATTTTACTAAGAGAAGGTGAGGGAGGCGATGTGGAACTGGATAAGGAACCAAAAATCTTGAGGGAAACATCACCATTAGTTAAGTTATATGGGGTTCTTCTTTTTCTTTTAATACTTTAAAAATCGATTCTGGGAAGGGTTGCATACTTGCATGTATACTTTCCTGAGGTATCTGGGTTTTAAAAAGAACTATTCACTTATTGGTAGTTTTCTACATTAGGAATAATGATGGTGCTTGCATGCATATAGGTTCTTTAATTTCCTTGGATTAAAATACAATAAATCTGTTTTCCTACTGTTTCTGTTTTTTCTGAAACACTTGGGTGTTGTTTATATAAAACATATATGACAGGGACGATAAATTTAAGTGGTCCTACTTTGGTTTATGTTTTGGGTCGAAGTTGTTCTGTCTGATTCCGGATAATATCCGGGCCAGATATCTAAATATATGTCAGGCATATATTCAGATATGTAATGTCAGATATCCGAATACTTTACCCTGAATATCTGGATATATTTGCTTGCGGAAAACCAAAATTACCTCTTTCCAATTATATAATTATGAAATGAATCCAGACATGCATTGATGACTTTTCGGAACAAGAAATTGCTGCATATTACATATATTACTCATGTATGACTTAAAGATTCTTATGATGAGAACATGTATGCATTATATCTTGTTAAATGATTAATCATCTGTGCCATATTCCATGAGATAGAGGAAATGATAGTTGACAGTGTGGGGGACGCTATAGGTCAACTAGCTATACACATAGCTAGTGTAAGGTGGGAAGAGAGTTCTAAAGTCACAGAATATCCGTTTGTGTATCATGTTACTTCAATTGTAATGCTGTTAATTTTAGTTGGATGTTAGTACAACACTCTATTCCTGTATGCAAATTGGTATCATGTGACTTCTCCCATTATATGATTGGCAAGTCTGAGGGTTAGAACCTCCTCTAGCTTATTGAGATAATTCCCACCCTTCATGGGATGTTGTGGCAGATTCGAAGTCTCAAGGTGCAGGCTCCCAACCGGAGTGATATGTTTATGCTTTGATCTCTGTCTTTAAGTTAAATGTCACTTTTCTAGGCAGTTTGAAATCTCAAGTGACTCCTTGTTGTATAGGAACCCATGTGAGACTATTTCTAAACTAATGTATTACTTTTGAAGAGCTTGATGTATGCCATTTTCTTCCCTTGTGTATTCTACTTCTTACCCAAGTTTCCGTAAATTAACCTATACTTTAACCATAACGGCGTAACCTTTATTGTGTGTAATTTACAAATTGCAATCTTAAGCTTATTCTTATTATGTGTAACATTCTATGTTAGTATTTATTTAATGGATCCTTACTTAAGGAAACAATTTTGAGAGTTACTAATTTGCAACTATATTTTCAAATAATTAAATTTAAACTATCCAATGCCTCAAGAAACCAACCACCCACAATTTAGCGAAGGAAAAATTCTAGTAATTTTTTTTTTTTTTTTTTTACATTTTATGTATTATTGAGTGAAATCTTTTTTATCTCCATTAAATAACTTGAACTCAGTTTCTATTAGTAGGATCAGCACAAGATTTTACTTAATCATAAAAGAATGATAAAAAGAGAGTATTAAATAATACGCTACTAACAATTCTTACTTAACAAACATTAACATAATTAGGAAATTTAGAGTGCAATATTCAAAATGAACAGAGACTAAAAGATAACAAAATATACGAAAAGGTAACCCTTAATTATCAAGTGATAAGGTTATAAAGACGAAATGAACTGTAACGTCAATTTCAAAACGCCCTTCCGCATAAGAAAACCATTATATGTGTGTTTAGGTTATTTTTTACAAACTTAATTTTGAATAATTTTAATTTTATAAAATTAATTAAAAGTAAGTTTGAAGCGAAGTAATTTATCATATATGTTTAGATGTTTTTATTTGAAAAAAATATTTTAACAGAAATAATATTATTTGGACAATTTTGACTAAAATCACTTCTAGATAATTAATTACCAAATTAGGATTAAAATAAATATTTCTTTATCCAAATTTCTTTTCTATTTGATTTCATTATTTTTAAGTATACATTAACAAATGAAATAAATAGATACAGGAACTTAGCATCTTTTTGTTATGTTATTAAATTAAAACAAATGCATGGTATTTTAACTTTTGAAGAATGCACAGTCCTATTTAAAATTATAATTTAAGTGAGAGTAAATATTCTTTTTGGTACTCAGCAAATTTTACGATGTCCGTTTTAGTCCCTTGCAAATAAAAAGGCCATCGTGGTCCCTAAGAAATTCAAAATGGACCCATTTAGTTGAAATCGTAATCCCTCGTAAATTCAAAAAAGATCTATATTAGTCCCTAAAAGGACTAAAATAGGTCCATTTTGAATTTCTTGAGTACCACGATGGGCCTTTTTATTTGCTAGGGACTAAAGCGGGCATTGTAAAATTTTTGCTGAGGACCAAAAAGAGTATTTACTCTTTAAATGAAGTGGAAATAAAAAATATTAAATTAGCATGATTACTGTCTAATTATAATTATATAACAAGCTATATACGGCAACTGATGGCAAAGAAAATGGACCGTCACTCTCTGCCGTAGAGTGAAAGCAAAAAAACACAAAAAAAAGGTGTACACTGAGTACTTATTGAGATGCTTTTATTTTGGGTTTGGTGTTTATTATATTATAGGAGATAAATTTATTTTCTACATATATATAAAAGTGTGTGGGCTATGTGAAAAGAAAGTATGAGTCACACATACTTTTATCTCCTACAGACCTACACACATAAAAGTGTTTGAGACTCATATTTTTTTTTATTTTTTTTTTCATATGAGTTCCATATAGTTTTATACGTGTATTTGTAGATAAATTTATCTAATATGAATATTAAACCCTTTATTTTTACTATAGATCACAGTACATATATAAACGCAGATAAAAAAAATGCTTCGGGGACAAAATCAAGTTTGAGAGATGAGCTTGACCCCTAAACCAAAAAAGTGTTAAAATGAGCAAACTCCAATTTGAGGGAACTAAAGCAGGTTTGCCTACCCAAAGATGTAACGTAGCTACTAAGTTTGTGTCTTGCAAATCATTCGAAGCTTTCTACTTGAAATAGTTGTTTTTTTTATAAATCACGTGTATTATTTATGGAATACAATTCTGTTCGAGTTGGGAATATACATATCATGATGAGACTAGCTCTTTTAAAGGGAATTTTTTGCATTCAGAAGAAGTTGAACCCATGACTTTACTTAAACGGAATCTAGCATATACCATTTGAATCAATCCTTTTAATTACTTGAAGTAATTGTAGTGTGTCATCCACAAGATGTTCTGTAGTAGTTTTTACTCATTGCTTTTAGGACTGTTACTGTTTCTCAAGTCAATTTATGCACAATTATGGTTGTGAATTGTTGGTGACATTTTCTTGAATGATTTTTGTATTAAGTTTGAACAAGTGGTTGATTGTAATTTGTAGGCATCTACACCCTTATCAGCCATTTCAAAGCCCTGCTAGATCAAGAGACAAGACTGTTTATAATATTCCAAATTTTGGTAGATCAAAGAGGCACCTCATCCATTTTGCTCTCTCCATGTATCATGAATGAGTGTTGAGTTGACTTTCAAAGGAACAGAGGTAGATAAAGTGCAGGTTGAAACTTAAAAAACACTCACTATAAATAACAAGGAAAATCTTGACCCCAAAAGAAGCTAAGTCAAACCAAATATCAACCCCATTTAATAAAACAGTTAAACCAACTCTTGACTCTTCCCCATTTTTTAGTTCAACAATTGGCAGTTACCTACTTCACTGAAGGAACCATCTCGAGTCTCAACACCCGCACAGAACTATACCCACTCCAACAACCAGCGAGAGAAACCTCCTCTCTTATTCAATCCGTATATATATATATATATGACTCTTATTCAATCCAAGGATGTGCTATGATTAGGATATTCATTTTTAATATTTATCTAAAGCTAAACCTTCAAGAAGCTATAGTAGCAGCAAACAAGGAAGTTGAGGTTGAAAAAATTGTTATAAACAAGTTAGGCATGGCTTGTGGGTGTTCTTCAACAGCAATGGCAGAGAGAATATCTTGGTACTGTGCTCTGCTTGTGGCACTGATGCTTGTCTTGAGCAGCTGTGAGTCAAGCACAAGTAAGTTCACGGTTCAGCAGATGCCGCAGAGGAATACCAAAAAGGCGTGTGATGATATATACATGGTTCGTGAGGGAGAGACACTGCAAACAATCATTGAAAAATGTGGGGATCCATATATTGTTGAAGGGAATCCACATATACAGGACCCGGACGATGTTTTCCCTGGCCTGCTTATCAAGATTAACCCTTTCACGAATCTATAGAAGTCTCAATTTTTTTTATGGTCTTGTTAAAAGAGATTATAAGAGCAAGTTGTTCTTTTTTACAGAAAGAATAGCCTATCATCTGTGTTCCATTCACGGTAAGAAATTATATTTATGGGAATTTACTTTTAGTAAATTAAATTATTCCAAAAAATTTAGTAAATTAAATTATATTTATGGGAATTTACTTTTACATAAAATATTCCAAATTTTTTAGTAAATTATTTAGATTAGGGGATGGTATAGCCGTATAGGGATGAGGATGACCGCTCATATCTCATTAATATTCCATTTAATCAAGTGATAAGTATTTTATATCATAGTTGCATAACTAACGTTTGAAATCAGAAATCTCTTATCTTTGTTAAAGGGTTATTTGTAAATTTCTTTTAGGTACTCGTTGATCCTAATAACCTAATTGACATGGGAGTGGATTCTCTCGTGTTAAGAAAGACATAATATGGTCGTATGGATAATCATAACCATACAAAGATGAATCCATAATAATAAAAGAGAAGAGAGAGAAAATATTAAAATAAATAATTATTAAATTATAACTATTAATTTACCTCTGAATGGTTATCATATCATATATTTTCTTAAACACGAAAGAACTCATTTCGAGTGAACTACATCAATCATTCCCGTCGTATGTTTTTTTAATCAGAACTGGTAGCATTATAGGATCAATGTTATTAAAACCGGCTTGGTCATTGACCCGGTCGAGGTACTGAGTCACTGGATCACTGGTTCAACCAGTGAGTCATTGGTTCAATCGCATGACCCGATAATTATATATAATTTTATAATTTATATTAAAAAATTATAAACATACTCAAATATCTAAAAAAATGATTAAAATTTCAAATATTTTAATATAAAAAATAATAAATCACATATTATTATCCAATAAAAGATCAAACAAAAATATAATGTTCGTGATACGGGACTTTAGGTTCAGAAAATAACATCCATAATTATAAATCAAATCAAATTTTTTTGCATAGTGCATAATTGAGATAACATTAGTATTGTAAATACATAACTTATGTAAGTTAATAAGCAAAAAAATATTCAATTATGTTCATTATGATTATTTTTTTTGAAAAAAAATTGGAATTTTTTTTTGTGACCGGGCCGGGTCACCGGTTAACCGACTGGGTCACCGGTTTTCATAAAAACCAACTGGGTCGGACCGGGTTACACCGGTTCTGATGCATGACCGGTCCGTTGCTTCAACTAGATCAGTTATATGACCAGTTTACCAATTCTCGGATCGACCCAGCCGGGTCGATCCGGATTTAATAACACTATGACACATATTAGGGGAATCCTATATTTTTATTAAAAAGGGATACTAACACTTTGACACAGCTCATGCCCATTTGTTAAGTTGTTAACAAAGATGGGCTCAACTAACATGTTACCGTTTAGCATTTTTGTTGGGCCATGACAAAAATATAGAATTTCAAAATTTTCATTTTCGCTACTCGAACCTTTGATCCAAAATAAAATAAAATAAAATAACTTTAACCCTTTCGCCAGCGCACAAAAAGACTAGGGTAAACCATTTTAGAATCTGGTTCTTAATAAAAATACAAGATTTGTACTATGCCTTTCATACGGAATTGCCTCTGTCAAACTGTTTTCTTGTTTTATTATGGTTGCTAGTACCTTTTGACAGTGAGATATTGGGCACGGGTTCTGCGATGCAGGGAGGGAGAGTGATGTTTACCTCGTAGCCCCTCCACCAAAAAATAAAAGGAAAGAAAAAGACATGTGATTATTGTTTTTTAATGGGGAGTAATGGGATCTTTAGCCACGAACAAGCCACGCAAGTTGGTCAATTTATATATGGATTTTATTAATCTCATTTTAGATAAGATAAGTATCTTATGTTGTAGAGAGGAACTAGGTGGGTCCCACCATTACAAGAAAAAAGAAAAAAAAAAAAGTGAGGGGCGGAAATCAAAGTGAGAGAAAATGAGATAAGTTACCTCATGTAAAAGGAGACTAATAATTCTCTTTATATATATATATATATTTTATAAATCACGTATATTCTTTACGAAATATAATTTTTTTTTTTTTTTTATAACAACGAAATATAATTTTATTCGAATAGAGAATATTAGCATTATGATGGGAGAATAATTTTCTAATTTTTTTTTTTTTGCATTCACAATAATTTGAACCGATCATAGTTTAGTTTAAGGATTCAACGTTTCTCTATACGTAAAAGTTTGTCAATCTGTTATCAAAAAAAAAAAAAAAAAAAAAAAGTTTGTCAATCTCATGTGAGATCATATAAGAAGAAAAGAAAAAGAAAAAAATTGGATCTCACATCACCAAAAGCTAGCTCAAAGGGTGGGAGTGCTCAATACCTTATAAACTCCACATTAGTTGCACATACAACCAATGTGGGACTATATATCTCAACAATAAAATTATCTCATACACAATAAACACTCAATTTAATGATACTAATTAACGTTATAAACGTTGATTCGATCCAAACTAGTGCGTTACTGATTAATAAAAAATATTATATATTAATTCCTGCACTTGAAAATACTCATGCATTCCCCTCGTCAACCTTATTCTCTTGATAACAAGAATTAGGATCTTTTTATATTTTTTCACTTCATAACAAAAATTTGGATCCTTTTATATCTTTCTCTCATCTTTTCTTAGATACAAAAATAAATTTGATGGACTGTACATAAATAATCTTAAGTCTTATTATTAATATTTTTTTCTATATTTTCCCTCACAACGTAAAAATTCTAAATTTAGATAATAAATGATATAGGATTCCCTGACATGTCATTTCTTCGTGATTTTTCGCATAAATTGATTATTTTCACTTTTCTTCTTAAATTTTATCTTAGCTAATAAAATAACATGCATGATATTAAAATTTGATTTATTTTCTATGTTCTCTTAATGAATTAATTTAGTAATAAAAAATGTTAAGACTATATAATATTACTCTTTAATTACTTTATATTATATTTTGGAGGAGCGGGATTCTTTTATGTGCTAGTTAATATTACTATATCATGTGAGAGGATCCTAATCATTTATGAACAAATTAATAGTGATAAAAAATGAAAAAAATATTAATTAAAAAAGCAAGTGATAAAATCAACACCATTAATTTACCTATAAATAAATAAGATTCTCTCACGTTACATAATCATGTTAACTAATAATCTCATTGGAGGAGCATGTATCACTACAGGTATTCGTATTCCCAAATGATACGAAATGAAAGAGTGATTTATTTAAAAAATAAAAAAAAAAAAAAAAAATGAAAGAGTGATTAATTAGATAGGCAAGTAATTAATTAAGTTATTCCTCGTAAGTTGTAAAATCAGTTAGATAAATAGTTATAATAATTAGTAATTCACTTTATGCGCAGTTAATAATTTCAGCCCAAAATTCCAAAACAAATTCAACCATGAATGGATTTGAATCCAAATCCATGAACCAGCAGCCATTCTAAAAATTTATTTCTAGTTTAGAACTCTGATATGTATTTTCACAGTCCACAAGACGAAAGAGTAACCAAAATGCTACTTTTATGTTCTTATTTACCCAACTGCCGCATGAATAATGTTATTTTTCAATATATCACGCGTGCAAGTTAGCTACAGTGGCTAATGAACTTGGTTTGGTGATATGACACGTTTCTGGTAGACAATAAATTCGCTACTGAAAGTAGCGAAGTAGGTTGTAATAAATGCCACCCCTGTCCACCACCTGCCATGCCACGTGGCAGATATAGAGAAGTTCGCTGCAATAGATAGCAAACTACGTATAACTGCTAGTAAAAAAGTAAGCAACATGTCTAATGTGCAACAAGTTTGTTGGGGTAGGTAGCGAACTTGGTACAACGACTACCCATCCCCAATGTATATAAACCCTCTTCCCTCACCCCACCAAACTTATCTCACTCTTACTCTCTATCTCTCTATACATTATCAATGTTAGTAATTTCAATATTGTTAATTTTACAGTTTTTTAATATTAATTGTTTGATATTACTTATTTATAGATAGAAACCTTAGGTTATAAGATTAATTTGATTATTGTTATTAATTTTAGTATTTTATATTTATATACTTATTTATGCATTATCTAATAATATTAATTGTTTGTTATTATTTATTTATAGGTAGAAAACTTAGGATAGAATAATTTTATATTAATGTTGTTAAAGTTAGTATTTAATAATTTTTTAATTATGCATTATTTAATAATATTAATTGTTTGATATTATTTATTTATAGGTAGAAAACTTAGGTTAGAAGAATTTTATATTAATGTTGTTAAAGTTAGTATTTAATAAGATTTTAATTATGCATTATTTAATATTATTTATTTATAGGTAGAAAACTTAGGTTAGAAGAATTTTATATTAATTGTGCCTTATTATTTAGTGGGGGTGATGGTGGTGGGGGTGACACATGCCTACCTTCCGGATTTACTAGCGGTTCCCTGTTAAAATGTTGAGTGCTTGTTATCAAAAATAAAAAATAAATGTTGAGTGCTTGTCTCTCCACCAGTGTTTAGTTCCACATACATTTCGATGAAGGAGACTCTCCATGCTGTCGAAATGCGTCTACTACTAACGTTATATCTTCATCCTCGACAACCTCCACAGCAACCCATTGCACCGGGTTAACGGAGGTGCAACTGGAAATCAATCGAGAGAGAGATTGACCATGTTATAATCTCAACTTCTTGTATATTATTTTCTTTAGGTCATTATATTTGCAATGGGGGCTCATGTGGAACATCTTCATATCTCCTTTAAACACTTGACCTCGTATAGTGGCTAAGATACAAGCACTCATCGGTCAGGATTGAGAGGTAACGCTTTCTCATATTCCAAGAGAAACTAATTCTTGTGCAGATTGGTTAGCCAAGTCTGCTCTTCGTAAAGATACTGGATTCTGGAGTCATAGAGTTATGTCGTTTCACCTTGCTCAGTTATTTGATCACGATCTTCAGGGAATCTCCTCTTGTAGGGATATAGACCCTGAATAGTTATTTTTTGTTTCTGGTTGTTTGTTTGGGGCTTCGCCCCTTAATGTTATCAAAAAAAATAAAAATAAAATATCTCCTTCTATTGTAATATAAAATGGTGATTAAATCGTTGTTACTCTCATTCATTATGTCGTCAAATATGAAATATAAAATGCAAGAAACAAGAATATACCAAGGTTCTTTGGAAAAAAAGTACCAGATTTACAAATTGAAGGTGGGAGAGCAAGGGATATAAGTAGCACTGAATTAACTATATGTAATAGCGAACTATCATTGTTCCCCACAAGACACTATCGTCCTTTTTCAACTCCTAGACATGAGAAGTTATTCTATGTATCAGTCCCATAGAATTTACAAATGCTCCATCTCACATGTAAAGGGCAAAAAAAGGAAAACAAAAGAAAAAGCAGGGATAAAATAGTCAAAAAAAAGTTTTGATTGTGAGTGGGACTAGAAAAAAATAACATGGGCCGGAATGTATAAAATTTTCCCCCTAGACATCTAGTAATTAAACTTTTTTCAACATAACACGAAGTTGCACATATCCAAAAAATTAAAGACATCAAAGGCTGTAAACTCGGAACGTTTAACAGCAAATGCATAGGCCATTTTAACGTTATTTAATCCAATTTATGATATGTAGGCGTAAGACCTGGCTGACCCAATAAATTTAATTGGATTGATTTTTTGTTCTAAAGTTTAAATTCGATATATTCAAGTTAGATTTAATTTACATTTTGAATTGATTGGGCCAGGCCTAACGCCACATTATGACCGTAAACAAAATTTACATGTAATATATTCGGATACTGAGAAGTGATGAAGAACTTTTTTTTTACATGGTGATCTTAATTACTTTTTTTTGAGACGAGTCGATTTTGAGTATCTTCAAATCTTTGAGTTAAAGTTCTAAAAAGTATTTGGTGTAAATCAAATTCATATTTTTTTCCACCTATTCAATTTATATTGTCAAATGAGCTATTATTAGTGGGGAAGGTTATATTTATAAATTTTTTGTTTATAAACTATACTAAGTATGACCGGCCATACTTCAATCAAGAATTTATGATCGGACATACTTTGTGTAATTTGTAAAAAAAAAATTTATAAACGAATCATTCCCTATCATTAGTTATAAAACTTTTGTATATCTTGAAAGCAATAAAGTGCAGCATTGATTGACCTTAAATTTGAAATTCTGATTTCTTATATTAGCTCCCCGCAACAATTTTGACTTCATTTTATTTCTTTTAATTTTTTTATTTTTTATTTGGTTATTTTTCAGGTTACGGATCATCACCGTTGTATTTGGCCACTAACGGAACGAAGCAACCTTCCAAATGATTTTGGTTTAAACAGAGGTTAGCACATGTGGACAAAAGATTTTTAATTTTGTCAAGTAATCACAATGAGTAAGGCGTTGAAACTAAACCGACCCACCCGCACTTTCACCGCAAAATGCCCAACGATAAAAAATCAATCCCCCCAATATTAACTTTTTTTTTTTGAATTATTAGGCGAAAGCTGAAGCCAACTTTTTAAAATAAAAAAATAATTTTAAGTTATTTATCAAGAGTACACAAATTTTTTTAACTAATAATTAAAAAATATAGTATTAACATTTTTCGTACGTCAATTCTATCGTATGAGATGATTTTTAATCATTGGGCTTTGTCGTGAAAGTGCGGGTGGGTCGGTCTAATTTTCGACAAAGATAAGTGTTGTCACTATTAATATGCTAGCATCCCACAGTCGCCGAGTGGAGGCCATTTTTCTTGGGTCTCATCTCATTTATATGAAAATGGATCCTCTCACGTGAAAAAGTAGTTATGTGATCATGTTATTTGATTACAATCACTTATTGATGATGAGATAAGAGAGAGAAAAATATATAATATTTAAATGGATGGTAGTGATCAAATAATATGACCACTCTTTCACATAAAAAAATCCATTTCTCATTTCTATAAAACTAAAATGCATATCCACGTGTTCACTTAGCTTCCTTCACTTACGATCTAGCTAGCAAGTAGCAAGTGCCAAGTAGTAAGTAGCACCCTTTTCCTCTCTCCACCTCGATCTTCTCTCGCCATTCCTTTTCCTTTAATAAGCTTCATTTGAAAACACTCCCACTTTGCTCCACACCTGCTCATGATGGACTCGCACAAGCAGCAACTCTTTTCCCTCCTCTCTCTTTTCCTAATTCTACATCTCTCAGGTAAAATTATAAACAAAACATTCCCACCTCTACCTCAAAAAAGACTTATGTTTTTGTTCCTCTTTTTCTTATGGGATGGGATCATTCTTAACTGATTGATGAAATATTCAAAATTTACCTTATGGGTCTTATTATTATTGTTATTATTACTTTTATAGGACAAAGGTTGCTGCAAGCAGAGGCTCGCCTTCAACTTCGCCACCTTAATGATCAGCCAACGAAATTGTTTGTTTTCGGAGACTCCTATGCTGACACAGGCAACATTAGGAAAGGTTTATCTAATTCCTGGAAAGATCCTTATGGCATCACCTTTCCCGGCAAGCCGGCCGGTCGATTCTCCGACGGCAGAGTCCTCACCGACTACATCGGTAGGTGCAATGCAAGTGCTTGCTTTTTATGTTTTGCTATTTTAATCTTTAGCTTTCTTTCTCAACAAAAAGCTTTGCTTTTGTACCTGCATGCTTTGGCTTATTGGATATAAAATTATTATATATTAAACTGCTTTACCGGTACACTAAACTATTCTTTTTAATTTTTATTTTTTTTGGGGTACTTTACTAAACTCTTCTTTATAGAAGTTGTAAGTGGTGGGGTTCATTTCTCTGCTATGGCTTGCCACTTTTCCTTTTTCTTGTGCTGAATTGTCTATCTATTTTGACGTTGTGCTGTTCTCTACTTTGGCAAATGCTGCATTATTGTGTTTATGGCACCTTTTTTCCCCAATTCTTTTTTACTCAGTTTTGGTTTGCATATCACGTTTGATCTGCATTTTATCTCTTTTTTCGTCACATGGAATTATTAGTAGCATGTTCTTTCACTTCTTTGCTTTCTCGCGTGACACCAAGCTTTCGACGCAGACACTGTTGTCTTTATCATTTATTTTGGTAATCATTACTTTAAACATGCAGCGCTCCTCTCCATTGATTGTGTTTTTCCCATTACCATTTCCTCTTAGGTCTCTTGACGTCCTTTCACCTATGCTGCCACTATGTTAATTTATTGAACTTTATGGTAGGTTTTAATTGGACCAATAATTGTGCCAAAAGGGAGTAATGCGTAGATAATTGATTTATTAATGCCATTAAAATTTAATTAATATCGTGTATTCTGCAGATTTCTCCAATCAAATTATTAAATTATCAAATCATCTTTATCTTTGGAATATCCTTATTTTTCTTATCCCGAGATACGAGCCTTTATTACCAGTGGTTCTGATCTAGACCTCTGCAGCCTTTCAGTAAAAGTAAAAGCATTGTCTTACTTTATCAGTAATGTATAAATTGACTTAAAGAAAGAAAGAAAGTTAAAAAATTTATTATATGTTGTCACTTTTATCATATCTATTTTAAGTCTTTTTCCCCCCTTTAATCATAATTGCTTATGGGTCATTATAATAGCTTTCGTATATCAATTTTTGTACCTGATTAATAAAACTACCGTTTATGTGTGTGATGCAGCTAAGTATTTGGGAGTGAAATCGCCAGTCCCCTACAGATTGAGGAAACTGATGCCGCAACATCTGAAATATGGGATGAATTTTGCTGTTGGTGGTACTGGTGTCTTTGACACCTCAGCTCTAGGCCCAAACATGACAACCCAGATTGATTTGTTGCATCAGGTCATCAACGACAAAGTGTACACTGCTTCAGATCTTAGCAACTCAGTGGCGCTCATTTCTGTGGCTGGAAATGACTACAGTCATTACTTGGCCACAAATGGCTCTGCCCAGGTAAATTATTTTGAATTTTCACTATACAGATTTCTATGAACTATGAAGTGCTTTACACATGATTTCTTCTAAAATATTTTAGTTATAATTATAAGTGGTACAAATTTGTTAAGTTAGTTTATTACAAAAAAAAAAAAAAAAAAATTTGTTAAGTTATACTTGACACATTAAATGATCCCATTTACGCAAGAACTTGACAGTTTAATCTGGATGACGATCGTTTGTAGGAATATAATTAGTAGATATAATTAAGAGTTCGCTTTTTTACAGTAGATAAGTTATCTGCAGTAAGTCAATACGATGTCGTTTTGGGACAGAAATCATGATGTTTTTATAAATTTAATTTATTTCAGGGTTATAATAGTCTTTATATTTATAATTTTTTAAAATTTCAATACCAAAGCGACGTCGTTTTGGAAATAAATACAGATAACTTATCTATAATTAACTGCAGAAACATTTTTCCCTATAATTAAAGGAAAAAAACCTTTATGTATCACTATCTATTTTTGCCTATCACTATCCAACATCATTAGATCAAAATCTTAATAGAATAGAGAAATGATAAAGGTAGTTGAGATTATGATATAATAATATTAGAGAATAAAATGCAAAGATAAGCATAAAAAAAGGTAAGTAGAATAATCTATCTTATATATATATATATGAGGCAGGATCCTTTGACACCAGTGTCAAATTTGAAATTTAACACCTCATCTGAGAGCCATTAGATCAAAAAAGATCATCGACTCTGATTTGTAAGCATGTGACACCATTGATCTTTTTTGATCTAACGGCTATCAGATGAAGTGTCAAATTTTAAATTTGACACCGGTGTCAAAGGATCCTGCCTCTATATATATATATATATATATATATATATATATATATATATATATGGAAAAAATATTTCTGCAGTTAATGCAGATAAGTTATCTGCATTTATTCCCAAAACGATGTCGTTTTGATATTGAAATCTTAAAAAATTATAAATATAAAGACTATTATAACCCTGAAATAAATTAAAATTACAAAAACACCATATTTTTGTCCCAAAACGACGTCGTATTGGGCTTACTGCAGATAACTTATCTACAGTAACTGCGAAAAAAAGCGATATAAAATTATGTCTTTTAAAATAATAAATATATTTTTTATAATTAAATACTATTTAATTTTTTAATTTTTTAAAATTATCAATCCATCAGAAAAAAGCTTTGATTCTTTAGAAATTAACAAATAAAAAAAAAAGATCATAAATTTTTTAATTGAATTCAGTATATATATGTTTTGAATACGAATTCAGTATATTTTAAAATTGTAACAGAAGATCCAATGTGCCTCGTGTTTTCTTTACAATTATCATTTATAGGCTTAATTTCCGGCCCAGTATCAAATTTAGGCGGGTTAGGTAGACACTTGTCCACTATTTGGAAGTAAATGGACAAATTAGTGATTGCCAAATTGTTAACAATAGCCCAAAGGCATAAACTATAATATATTTAATAAAGGCCATAATAATTCAATAGATACATTGGACTCCAATGAAATTGTCTATGGGCTCGTCATGGTTATGGGCGATTCACTTACGCAATGGGTCATGTCATGATCATCAACTAACATATAAATAAATAATTTAGCAATTTATTTTTTAATAAATCAGAATTAGATTTTGATTATTTTCTCCCCGTTAAATGGTACCACCAATACTGAAGAATTTTGATGAATGATACCCATAATAATGATGTTGGATGGATATGTATGTAGGGATTACCGTCTTTCGTGGCCTCGGTGGTTAATCAGACAACAACCAATCTGATTCGCGCCAAAGGGTTGGGAGTGAAGAAAATTGTTGTGGGTGGTTTACCACCCCTTGGATGCCTTCCTGAGATAACAACGACATCCTCATTTCAGCATTGCAACACAACCTTTAACGCCCTCGTGCTTCTCCATAACAACCTCTTAAACCAAGCTGTGACCAGATTGAACCAAGAAACCAAGGATCATTCGGCCTTCGTAATTCTTAACCTTTACGACAGCTTCATGTCAGTGCTGAACCACCCATCCACACATAACATTCAGAACCAGTTTAAGCCATGCTGCGTTGGGGTAAGCAGTGAGTATTTTTGTGGGAGTGTAGACGGGAACAATGTGAAGAAATATCAGGTCTGTGATGAGCCCAAATCCGCTTTCTTTTGGGATCTGGTTCACCCCACCCAAGCAGGATGGCACGCCGTGTATAACAAGTTGCGAGCCATGAATGCTCTTCAACAGGTTCATTACTAGCTCGGTGGAAGTGCTTGAAGCTTTTGGCTTGTTCTTTTTTGATTGTGTTAAATAATACACGCCCTTTTTTTTTGTTAAATTGTTCATCCAACAACGTTTCGTTTGTAATTATTCCAACTGCTTTTGGGAATCTGAGTGCCATTTGCTAATAGAATGTTATTTTTTTTTATTAAAGCTATAACATATTCGTTGCAAACAAATTTTGCTTAAGTAGATTATTTTCAGCACCAATATGTGTGTTGGGCAATGTCGCGACCTGGTTTTACTTATACAAATGCTAATCATTAAAAAGATAATTTGGCCCGACATATTTACATTTACATAATAGTTAAATCTACTATTAAAATCAAATTATAACATAACGTGTGTGAGCGCTTTCAATTTCTTTAATCATAAACTACCTCATTACTTTTTTTTATATGTTTATTAATGTTCGGTCCTAGATAACCGTATTGCTATACCGTATGGTACGCGCTCAGAGACATCTTAGAGATAGATATCTTGATTGACTTATAGCCAATATTTCAATCAATTCGCACAAGCAATAACTTATAGCTAAAACGTGAGTGTGTGCACAGTGTCAAAGTGTGTACCTCGGGTTTTTAGCCTCATATTTATAAGGATTACCTTCATAGGCCTCGCAGTTGATATGAAATCTGCCTTGATTTGGGATAGAGATCTTATCCCTTGATCTTCTCTAGATTATATAGTTGTGATATCTCATCAATCTTACTAGTAATAGGGTTGTTAAGATATGGATCGAGTCCATAACAATTAACATAGTCCACAACTAATAACATCCTTCGTTTATATTTCTTCCCATTAATTACCCTTAAATTCTACTTTTTTCATGCCAGTTAAAGTGCTCTATTATAATTTTCAAAATAAAAAGTGCTCTATTATAAAACTATTTTTAGTTTACAAAAATTTATTATATTAGCAATCACTCTTAGATCAATATTTATGACTTTCTTAATTTTTAAAATTAAAAATAATTCTATCACATATCTTTCAAATATTTCCCATAATTTGCACATATTAGTAACAATTTTCAATGAAATCTGGATGAAACCCAATATAATATACATGCCGGGTCTCATCGTTGTTTATAGGAGGAGATTCGAAGTCGAGAGGTGCCTAGGCCCTAGTGATGTCAAACCCCAAGCCGTCGGTGTCTTTTAAAATTAACATATTTTTCCTATAAAATAAATAAATAACTATTTCAAAATTTACTCTAAAATAAAGTATTTTTTGAATCCTAAACAAATGTTATGGTACATATTTTAATCTTTTAGGAAAAAAAATCAATTTGTAATCTCTCTAAAATTCAAAATAGACTCATATTAAGGGCCCGTTTGAATGAGCTTTTAAAAAATGACATTTTATGCATTACTTTTTTTAAAAGATAAAGTTATTTTACGTTTGAATGTATGATCTTAAAATCACTTTTATATTAAAAAGTTATTTGAATGTTAAAATAAAAAAGTACTTTTATATATATAATTACAATAAATGAGATAAAATAGCACGATCGTGGGATAAGAAGAGATAAAATAAGTATGATAGAATGAAGTTAAAATTATATTTTAAAAATCTACTATCTTATTTCCAAAAAAAAAATTAAATTTTCTTTTAATTTCTGCTTTTTTTAAAAACAACCATCAACTGAGAAAAAAAACAGCATTTTAACTTTTATTTTAAATTTTTTTTTTTTAAAAGTTGTTATGCAAACATCTAAAAATTCCCAAAATGAATTCTTATTTTTAAGAATAAAAGCTCATTCAAACGGGCATTAAGACTTTAATAGACTAACGGGAGTATTCATGGCATGAGACGTAACTTAATTAGCCGTTTTGTGTGAGTGTAGGTCTTTTAAGGCTTTATTTGTGATGTTAATTTTGATGATTTAACCAATTCTCTATCAAATCATTTTTTTCCCTTTCCTACTAATTAAGTATGATATATTAGATTTTTTTTTTTTTTTAAATAAAGAGGGACTAAGCCCCAAGTATGATATATTAGATTGGGAGACAAGAGAATCAGAGAATTTTTGGAAAGCAGCAATTTTCTTGTCCTCGTTCCATTCAGCTAATTCTCCTTTTATAAGAGTGATTTGAAATATAATAAGTGTTATAAATACCGATTCTAATTTATATCAAACAGGATTAATTGTCATCAATCTAATTATTTTTATTAATGCTAATTAGAATGCAAAAAAGGTAAAAATAAAATAATGCTAATTGATATTAATAAATAAATATAATTTTTATTTATTTATACACTAGCTAGGTGAATCTCACACTTAACCCAACCTATATACACCACTACCACTCGCTAATTGTTGTTTGGTAACGCTGATAAGCCTTTTCAGCTTCTCTAGCTCCTACTGCCAAGCTCCTCCTCTCACTAGTGCTAACCTTACCTTCCTTCTCAGATTTCAAATTACCCCAACCACGAGAGAATGACCAGTGATTTAGGGGAAGATTTAGAGTCAGAGATATTGGTGAGACTGCCGGTGAAGTCTTTGATGCGATTCAAATGCGTTCAACAATCATGGAATGCACTCTTTAAAACTCACCTATTCGTGACGAGGCACATGAAAAATCACATGCGTGTATCGGATGAGCGGTTCATGATCTTTCGATTATATACATGAAAGATTTCACATATCACTTCTTCGCTATGACTCCTCGCAGCCACCTCAACACGTCGAATGCTCAATGCCCGACAAGTCCTTGCACACGGGTAAGTCATACGGTTTTTGCAATGGTGTTTTCTGTCTCTATGGATACTACGGATACAGTGGACGTGGACGATTCATTCTGTGGAATCCCGCCACCAGGGAGGTCAAGTTTATTCCCCTCCCTCCTCACAATCCTTTTGAACTCGAAGAATCCGGACTCTTGCACGGGTTCGGTGTTGATCTCAACACCAATGACTTCAAGTTGGTCAAGTCCAACATCGATTTGGACAATCAGCTTCATCCTGTTTCATCTGCGCAGGTCTATAATCTCAGCACCAATTCCTGGACCCTTATTCATGATGTTACTCTCCCTCCTATCAAACAGGTATGCTTAGGCCACGAGACACACAATGCTCTTTCTAATGGGATTTATCATTGGTTGATTGGATATGATGATGGTGGTTTTGCTTATATCCTTTGCTTTGACTTCCGCACCAACAAATTTAGTAAACTCAGGGGGCCAATCGCAGCAATTAATGATGGTTTGTTTATGAGGGATTACGTTGCTGAGATTGACGGTTCCATTGCCTATGTTGCACTCTATGATAATCCAAAGCTGTTGACAATTTGGGTTATGAATCAACACGGCTGGGCTAAAAAACACACCATTTGGCGACCTGATCCCAGAGATTCTTATCTTTTGCATTTTGAAGGATGGTTCTCAATTCATCGGAGGAAAGCCCAGAAAACCGCTGACACTATATAACTTTGATGCTCAGCCGGTGCACCAATTTCAAATTGAAGAAGGTGATTCTTACCAAATTCATAAGTATGTGGAAAGTATGGTTCCCCTTGCAGCCCAAGCCCGCTCTAGGAGGGAGACCGAGCTGCCTATGCATCTCAAGGATCGTAAGTTCGGCTGAATATCATTGAAGGCCCAAGTTCATTAGTTAGAGAATATTAGGATTATAATTATCAATTAGTTACAATATTTTAGGATTTAATTTAAGGATTATATTTTCTTATGCAACAGGAGATAAGATATTTTATGTTGCACTTGCAAATTTATGTGGGTCCCACTATACAGGAAAAGAGAAGGAAAAAAATTTGAAGTGGCTCCCATATCTTTTTGAGTGTGTAGAGGAGACTTGTTATCTCCAATCACATGATGCTAATATATTTCTCTTTGATTTATCTTTGAGCTTGTTTATCTTATTTTATCCTTTTATTCCATTTGAATTGTTTCAATCTTCCCTTGGTTTATTTAAAGTAATGAAATAAGAGAAATGTTATACTTGCAACTTTTTTTTTTGCTTACAACCTCTTACAACTTAATGTTAACCATTGATTTCCTCAAATCTAATTGTTATAATTTATTAGAATTTAATAATAATAATTCAATAAACTATGACCGTTAGATTGATGAAAATCAACGGTTAAGATTGGGTTGTAAGAGATTGTAAGTGAAAAAGTATAACCTCCTTTATGGAATAATACAAAAGTTGCAGAAAAATTATGCCACAATTTCTCTCTTATGCTCTTTATATCCTCCTTCCTCTCTTTCTGTAGTTTCTTATTTTAATCACTTTTTTTATTTACATTAGAAGTTTTTGTCTCTAATACCATGGAGCTCGTCATAACACACAGATAGTAGGGGTGTTCATAAACCGATCCAAACCGATTTAAACCGCAAAAATCGAACCGAAAAATCGAAAATCGAAATAACCGAAAACCGAAAAACCAAAAAGTGAAAAAAATCGAAAAAAATTACTGGATTGGATCGGTTTTCGGTTTTGATGTTGAAAACCGATCCAATCCAAACCGATCCAAACTTTTTTTTACCAAATTATACATATTACCTATCCCAAATAATAGCCGGCCCAAAGTTTTAAACCCACCCGTGCGTTAGCCCATCAGTTTTAAACCCACCCAAAGTTCTAAACCTAATCCATCCAAACTCACTCTTGTCGTCCTCTTAGTCTCTCACTCTTCTCAGTCACTCACGCTCTGGCACCAGTAGCATATCTCTTTCTTCTCAAAAATCAACGTTTGTCTCTTCCGTTAAACAGCCAAATAAACATATAACAAAGGTACTATAACACTTGATTTTATTTGCATCAAGGGCATGATAAAGGTATAGCAAAGCAGATTTCTAAATTTCTTCCCGTTATTCGTGTGATGAAGCAATAATATTTTCCTTCATTTTTCGTTGGTTTCAAACCATCGCCTTTTATTTTGTGTGGCTGTGACGTAACGTTTTTAAGATCTCTCGCGTTTTCTGCAGTTCTTCTGCTTCTAATCCATGTGAACCAATTCTGATAACCGTTTCACATAATCTTTGATTTTGTGTGGTTGTGACATAATCTTTGAGCCTTTAACTGATGTACAAGACATGTGAACCAATTCTGATAACCGTTTGAATTTTGAAATGTTTTGAAACATCGTCACTTTTTTAAAAGTAATTCTTTTAAGTTTTTGTTTTTTTGGCTTTTCAAAAAACCGAAAACCGATCCAATCCAAACCGAAAAAAATTGGATCGGATTTGAAAAAAAATTCAAACCGATCGGATGATGTAATGACCAAACCGAAGGAATTGGATCAGATGGTTTTTTGCTTCAAAACCGATCCAATCCAGACCGCGAACACCCGTAACAGATAGAGTGTGTGCATCTATTTCATTCATTACAGAAGGAATATGTATCAGTACCATTATATCAAATATTAGCACCTCTAACATGATGCATCTACTTTTCGTTAGCCGATAACTTAAGAACTTTATAGTTAAGCATACTCTTGACTTGGAGTAATTCCGGGATAAGTGACATCTTGGGAAGTTTATCAGAATGTGTTTAAGTGAGGACAAAACACACTGAAAAATCCTGTGTTGGTTTATGGGAACAGTCATTGATCCTACGAGTGGCCGGACGTTACACATCATTTGTTGTGGGTTAAACAGGTGAACTCGATGGATTTAAGTCTTATATTTTCAGCTCTAAACATTAATAGAATAATGTTTTACTAAATTTATATTTATTTATCAATTCAAATGTTATTTTTTTTATAGGACATTTAATATAATTTTATGTTAATTTTATTTTTAATAATAAATTTTTAAATTTTGTTGGTCTTCTTGCATTCTATCAAGGAAAACACATTCGTTCCTAAGATTATGACTTTGTGGTCTCTTATTTGTTCAATTAAGGAAAACCAATTTGTTCCCAAGAATGATGATCAATTGCGTCGGCGCACACATCAAGTAATAAATGGGAGTTTTTAAATCCCAGATTATCGTTTCGACAGGAAAAGTATTATTAATTGATATTTTAAACTACGTTTAAGAATAAAATAATGGGTTAACAGTATTGAACTGGTCAGTCGTTCCCCAGTATAACAGTGGCATCCCTCTATGACAAAAGATGTAGAGCAACTTAAAAACAATTCCTCGCGTCATTATATATTTAAGTTCTTCCAAATTCAAGGAAGAACGACAAGTCATAAGAAACGATAATGGTTGTGGTGTGGTGTGATTTCGAAATAAAATATGCAGAACATAAAATGAGCAGTCGAAAGCAGTAATAACAAGATTAACACAATGGAATGATAAGCGGAATGACGATTTAAAGAAAAGGAATGGATACACTAATCCACTGTTAAACCAACTATAGTCTAAGCTCAAGACCTCATCCAAAGGATTTGTTCAGGTCTCCTTAGTGCCAACTCTGATTACTCAGCTCATAGGCTACATGGTATATGAAGTCATATATTCCTATGGCGAATTCATTTTAAATGCTTACTCTGCACAGAGCCTTAGTGAACGAGGGGTCCCTTATTCCTAAGGCAACCAGTGAAAGTGTTTCCACACTCTTCACCTTCCTCTCATTGATCAACTATCTGAACTGTTGTCCTTATGGAAGTTCCTTTCTGAGTCATGTTCAAGTTCCATTGATACAAGATATTATTTCACTTAAACAACAGAAACCCCATTGAACTAAATGCAAGAGATTCAACTAGAGATTTAACAGTTTCTCAGCTTCTCCGATCCTAAAAAAGAAATTAGCTCATGTTCAAAGACATGGCTAAAAATACAAACATAATCTTAACAACTTGATATTCCATAGACCCAAGATTCAAGCTGTAGAAACGAGAAATGATAGAAGAGAAGTCTACAAACTCAAAACCTTAAAACATAGTAGCTAAATACAATGATAAAAGAGAATATGGATAAGATGGTGGTTTGCTTGTGAGGAGTCTCAAGGAGAGAATAGAACAGAGAAGGGTGTTTCTCCTAAGTTACACTAACATGCAAAAGCTTCTTGTGCCTTCGTCTGATCTTCTATTTATAGGCTGGGAAAGACAGTGGAAATCTTATGATTATTACGAGTCATTCCCTACACCATTGGATCGAAGATGTCTCTTTCTTTCTTCAATCTGACAATTGACTTTAAATTTAAGAGGATAAGATTGGAGTTGAGCTGTCTTTTTCCTTTGCTTTCCCAAGGACGATTATCTACACTCGGGCGCGTCCTACATCTTTGTCTGCATTACTGTATGTCACGTTGTCCTTCTCTGTTTTTGCTGCGCGCGTCTGTTCTTTTTGGTGCGCCTTGCAATCGTACTCTGCAGAAAAGTAAACAGCAGGTGTGAGTGGAATCAAAATGTAAAAATAAGGACATCTCACCACTCTTTTGTCTTTTTCTATTCTCACATTTCCACGTTGGCAATCGTTTCGCAACGAAACTACCCTTTATTGTATTTGTACAAATATTTATAAATAAACCTATTAAAAAGGGCAGAATGACTTTCGTTCCGCTCAGAAAAGCGAAGCAGATTGACACAAAATTTTGTCCTATAAATCTTTTTTTGTTAATTTCTGAATATAATATATAATATTTAAATATATAATTAGTTATCATCAATTTAATTATAACTACATCAATACATTATGAGTCAATACTTTTACGTACGAATTGAATAACCAGGCAGATTTTAAAATTCATGGCCCCAAGAGAATTTTCTTTCTAATCATGAGAAATGTTAATCAATACCATTAAAAAGACTATTGTTATTTGTTAATTATGATTCTACGAGATGCAATGAATTATCTACTATTCAATAAATGATGTAATGCATGACTCGGTATCCTTCCTTCAGACCCTTCATTCCTTCAAGGCTATGTTACCCACTTGAAATAGGATTGAAGTAGGAGACACTAAACATGGATCCTACAACCAACAGATTTTTTTTTCTTTTATAGATCTTTTGAAGTCTATATGTGCATGTTTGACATATTTTTTTGAAAAGTTCAGAAATTTTTCTATGATTTTGCTTGAATCACTTACTCCTAATATTTTTTTCCATCTAAATTCATCATTAACATTGTTAGAAACTTAATTAATTTTTCTATATAACCCTTCTTAAAAGAAGAAACTAGATCGAGGACAAAAAAAAGACAAATATGTTGGAAATTTATAACTTTTACAAAAAAGATTAAAAAGAAAAAAATATATAATTTTTTTCTAAATTAAAAAGAAAAAAATAATCTACCAAATAAAAAGTAGAACAAAAATCAAATCAAATATATGGAAAGCTTATAACATTAATATATATAACAGACTAAAAGTAAAAAAATAAAAATAGTTTAAATTTAAAAGAAAAAATAAATTAAAGACAAAAAAAATGAAAAAAAATAAAATAAAATATATTATAAATTGTATTTTTGAATTATTTTTGTCTCTATTTTTTTATCTTATTTCTTTTAATAATGAT